CTGATCATGAGGCCTCTTTGGATTCATAAGCATCCTAAGCGGGAATGAAGGTTCACGGAGCTTCTCCTTTCAGGTCTATAGCGCTACAAACTACTCCTTACCATGATTCTTCGTGTTACTGGCCCTTATGAAAAGCCCGGAAACCCAATTGCGCTTTAAGTACTGAGAAATCGGTTTCGGTATGGGCGGCTTATCGGCCCATTGCACCGTCACAACGACACAAGGTGAAGAGACCCTGCATGACACCTTAGATCGGCAAACATTCTACAAGTATGAATACTTCGTGTTGCTTACTGCGGGGCAAGTGCGGGAAGTCACCAAGTAGGTAGCTTACTTGGTAACTCTTATGCCATCTGCATTGAAGTGTCCGGTGCAGAACGAGCCGTAAAACCATTCTCGCTCAAGCCTATTTAAACCTCCAAGCACCCATCACTATTCTCTGCCTCATTTTCTCAACTTCAGTATATCCACGCAATTTATACACATTTACTCTCTTTATTCTTGGCGAGTACAACACAATCAAGATACCTTAATCTAGTCAATCATGTCTTCCTTTACCCTTTCCGCTGCCCCCAACACAGACGTATGGAAGAAGCCGCCTGCTCACAACGTCTACGATGGTAACTTAGACTCGCTCCTAACATATGCCGCAAGTTAACAAACCTAGCTCCCACAAAAACGGTTCCGACCAAGCCCCTGAGCCAATTCAAGTCTGCCAAAATTACATTCACCGCAGACTGGACCGAACAGTACGACCAGGCAGGCCTCATCGTCACTTTTGACTCTAACTCTGGCCGCGAGAAGAGATGGATCAAGACCGGCCTGGAGTACTACCAAGGCACGCCACAGCTCAGCACCGTTGCCTGCGACCGCTGGGCCGACTGGAGCATTACCCCTCTCGCCGCCTTTGAGGACACCAAGAGCATCACTGTGCTCATCGAGCAGGAGCGCGACTTCATGGGCCCGAGCTTCTGGGTGTACTACGTGAAGCAGGACGGCACCAAGGTGCCGCTGCGTGAGATTTGCTGGGTTTTTGGAGACGATGACTGCACTGGCAAGGATTGGAATCTGACCGTTGGCGCTCTGGTTGCTCGGCCTGCCAAAGATGCCAAGAGCGATCTTGAGGTTCAGTTCAAGGACTTTGACGTGCAGTGGTCTGAGTGAGCGTCAAACAGGGTAGCTCGATACCCTCCCAGCCTAAAAATAAATATAAAGAATGTATCTATGACAATTTCGGTGCTCAAAAACGGTACAATGCACATCTTCAAAGATGCAATGGTCATAGGCAATCGAAGTTGTGATTATAGATTATGTAATTAAGTCTAGTATGACATGGCCTAACGTCATGAACATTGTACTCCATTGCTCGATGGAATTCAGCCCCTGATCGCAATATTCGGGTATCATCCGTTTTCCATACCAAGCATCCAAGATCCTCCGCAGCTCTCATCCAACGGTGCTCGATCAAGCTCGGCTTCCGGGACCGTAGTACGTCCCGTCTGGGCCGGTTTCGGCTACCCTCTCAGTTGTATCAACATTGGCTCCTGTCATTTGCCCTTTGTCATGCTGCGGTTGGAAAGAAGATTGCTGCGGCGAGTACGGGTAGGGCTGGTATGAACCTGCAGGCTGCATCGGCGGCGGCCCGTTGATAGGCACCATATAAACGGGAGGAGGGCGAGCATTGCGCTGCTTGCATTCAATACAGGCGCGGACGAAGAGGGTGAAATTGTCGATACTATGAGGTGTTAGCGATCATCCCGAGGCTTTTCGAAAAACTCATATCGAGTACTAACAACAAGAGGGCAGTGAACGCCATTACAGTATCCTGCATAGAGGTGACCTGGCCACCACTCAACACCCACGACCGCGGACCATCGCGGAGGATGATGTTTGCAATCTCCCATCCAGTGGCCACCATGAAGACGAGCCAGAAGAGCAAGTGCATTCCGACGTGAGCACCGGGGTGGATTCCACGCCTCCCGCCTCTCGCGCAGATGGTGATGAGTTCAGAGGTTTCCCAACACACAAGAGCGGCTGCCTAAAAGCGGGTTAGATATCTCATGTCCCCGACATTAAACCGTCATTCTAAGAGCACACTGCTTACGGGGAATCCACTGAATACAAGATAGAATGAACTTGAGAATGAGTAAAATATGAGAGAGAGCGAGATGCCGAGGACGATGGCGCTGAACGCAATATTGAAGCCGCGAATGACAATCTTTGCTCGGTGCCATTTTGCGTTGAATGGGATTTCTTGAGGAGCTTGTTGCGCGTATGGCACGTAGCCTTCGAAGCCATCAGGCGGTGCGTACTGCGACTGTGGTGCGTACTGCGTTGAAGCCATGATGAATTTGAGTGGCTTAGTGAGCGTCTTACACACTTCGACAGCGACTTTACAACACGAGAGTCCACGATTCTGGTGTAGTCCGAACCGCAAAATGAGCGGCAACAAAACCGATGGCGCTTTTCAACACGAACCGAAAAGGAGCAAGAGACACAGGCGTTGGTTCAAATTTTCGGCACCGGAATTTTGGCTCATTTTATCGCACGACTGTGCCGCTCTTCTAACGGTTTGGTGCATGATACAGGCACCGGCGCGGTAACAATCGCGTCCCAAAAAGGACGGCGCCCCTGGCTAGAACCAGTTGGCGGCGGAGATCAGGGTCTTGCCATTGGACCACAATTTTGGCTCATATGGGCCTTAAGCAGAACCCTGTCAGCTGTGCCGTTGGCTGCCTAGACACAAAGAAACCCCAGTTCGTGCCACGAGAGCTGAAGATGCACTACGATTGCGAGATCGAGGGCATAACGGTCCTCGAGGGAATGGGAGACATATTGTGTCTAACGCCTGGACCTCGGTAGTTGCTGCGCTGGAGGTTTTCCCACTATGAGACCTGACAATATGATTCTCTCATCTCTGTAAACCCCAGCGTTGGGTGCCAGCTGTACAATGGTAAATCCTCAGGATGTCTGTCTCAGTTCACAGAAGCGCAGCGGTGGCTGGCAAAAGCCCCGCCAAATCTCACGTACGAGACCGAGGCCCCATCGGTCATCGAAATCAATCAATCCAAGTATCACCGTCACGGCTACCCAAAAAGAACCGCAAATGTGCTGTTTCTCCAATCTTGTTGGTCTCTGCAGAGGCTTTCGCGATTCTGTCGCTCGATGGCTCCTGACTGGTTTCGAATGTGAGTATCAATTTTCTGGCCATAATGACGAGTCTACTCTCTCTGCAGCACCACTACCAAGCCCATTATTCCCAGCATTGCCGTCTTCAACCACGGATATTCTGAAAGGAGGATCGTAACGTAGCCGACGAAGGGGATGTATGCGACGACGCTGCCGATGATATCCTTGCGCACAAGGTAGTCCTGATCCTTGGCATAGAGCTCTGCTTTGGATCAGTCTTTACTCACGTCACGGAGAACTCGAAGGGAGGGGGCCACGAACCAGTGTCATCGGAGTTGTTGTTGTCGCCCTTGGTAAGGAGCTTCGCTTCCGGTCTATAACGAGCCTCTCGGTTAGCAGGGAAAGCAATGGGAGACGGAGTGTACGAGTAGCTTACCCAGAGCCGAATCTGCGAACCACTCTGTGGACAATGGGAATATTCTTGCCCTTGACTTCGTAGACAACGATCTCGCCAACGTCGGTTTCCTGGATCAGGTTGCGGTTCCAAAGGAAAAGGAGATCGCCTCTCTGAAAGGCAGGCTCCATGGAACCACTGAGAACGACGACAATCGGACTGGGGGAATCGGAAATCACGGAAAGACCCTTCCACATCTGCCGCTGGAGTTAGCAAGAGCTTCTTTGGGGAAGGCCAATGTGCACACCATAAAGGCAGTCGAGAGGATCAGCGCAAAGTTGAGCAGTTGCGACGCTGCCTGGCGCGGGTTTCCGAGACTCGACAACATGTTTCCGGCGGTTCTGATAAGTGCGGGCGGTGTTGTTGGTAGCGTCGTCGGTGGTGGCAGGTCTCGGGTCGTGATGGTCAGTTTGGAGTTGAGTTCTGGCCAGCAACGCACCTTCCTTGAAGCTGGAAGCAAGAGCAAGAGCACAGGCCAGCTGTTTTGCAGACGTGGAACGTGTCAATGGAGATCCTGAGGTACGTACTCTACTTATCTTATCGGTTCTCACCAACGGTCGGCTCAAGACGGGTGTGGTGCACAGACCACCGTTTATTCTCCTTCTGCTTGGAACTCTCTGGTCCAGTGAGCCTGCCTCATCTAACATCTCCAAGCTGCAAGCTGCATCTCCTTCGTAGGTAGAACCACAGAAGCCATGGAACATAAAGTGTCCCTGCAGCTTAAGCATCAATTGACTTCAATGTACATCATAACATGCATTGAATACCGGTCATCTTGCAGGAATGTGCTACAAGTCAAACACAAAGCTCCTACTCACCATAAGGTAGGTAGAGTTAGGATATTCGCAGTTCAAGTAAGACATAAGAATTCACCAAAACCCGTCGTGTATATTCCCAATATCAAAGTCCCAGTACTGATCTCTTTGCCTGATCTCAATGGCTCACTTGGTATCTACCGCAAGTGGCACGCACAATGTCTTCCTGACTGACTGACAGCCGACGCTGCCCGTTACCTTCCTTCCTAAACCTCAACTGGAACTTCACAGATCGCTCACTTCCTTCCGCCATTGTGGATGAACGAGACAGGCACATATGTCAGACATGACTTCCTTCTTTGGATGTCACAGCCAACATCGGCAGTCGCAGCTTCACCGACAGATGAAAGGCAGCAGGCCCCTTCTGAAATATTCCACATGTCTCTATCCCACGTTATCCCATCGCATCCCCCGCTCCTCGACCTGACATCCCTCTCTCAGTCTTTTTCTCAAGCTCTTTGCCTGGTGTTTGCCAATAAGCCTTCAGCCTTCTTCTGTATATCAAGCATTATCAGGGCACCCAAAGCATTATCTCTCTCAGATTCCAAACTTCGACGACCTCTCTTCAGTATCCTGCCTGGCCTCCGTTAGAAGCCATCGCGATGGACGCCTCCGTCACCACTCCCTTGCTCCACGGGCAATCGGAATACCATGATGGACATGGCCTGCCCACGCCGGCATCCTATGGCCAGGTTCAAGACCATGTACGCTCGATTGTCGATTGCTAGGCATATTCACGGCTTCAGTTAACCTATCTTCTATAGCCTGCGTTTCTGAGAGCATGCCATTCACCCTGGCGGTCCTTCTCCCAGAACCACTTGTGCTGGGTTCGAGGTGGTATCGTTGCTTACCTGACCGCAGTCGGAGCTACGGTTCTTGACTACAAGCTGCGAAAAGAAGAGTCTGCCTACTCTGACTGGCGAGTGGTCTTTGACTTCTCCGTCGTCACCTTTTCTCTACTCTTGGCCTACCATGCGGTTGTACTGGTATGTCAGCCTACAGCGTAGGAGTTCTGAGTTATGGCTTGTTGCTGACCTCGATCATTAATCCTAGGGCTGGACCTACACTCATCTCTATCATCCACATATCGAGGAGACCAGTACTGGCTGGGAGTACTGGGCATTGAGAACCCTGTCACTGCCTTACGACATGGCCAGTCTTCGCAAGCAGTTCTACTTCACCTTGTTCTACACCACCACAACTGTTTTTACCTTCATGAACACAGTCATCTACTGGTTTGTTACCTTGGAGCACGACGACAAGAACACGGGAGAGCCCCCCAAGCCTCAGCCATCCGGAGGCTCCGCCATGGCCGACATGATTGGGGACGCTTTTGCATCCGAATGGACCAGCTTGGAAGACTCACACAAGAATGGGCCACATGAACCTTGTAAGCCATGACATCTTGTTGATGTTGACTTGGTCTAATACCATAATCTCAGTCACGGAGATTTTCGGAAAGGGCTGGTACAAGGCCTTTGTAATCATCAACCTCTTCGGCATCACATCGGTCGTCTCTCTCATTGAGATCTTCTGGCTCAACAGCATCAAGCGCCCCTTTGTGAGTTGCCTTGTACCTGAGGCAAGAAACATACACTGACACGACTGAAACGGGCAGGGCGTTGGCGCACACACTTTGGGCGTCATCTTCTTCGCGGGTCTCTACCTCGGTTGGGCAGCCATCGGCAAAGTCGAGACTGGCGCCGATGCCTTCTACTGGCTGAACGAGAAGAATGTCGGATCCCGTGAGGCCGTTGTGGCATCGTCGATTGGATTTGTAATCCTTGCTCCCATCAGTGGGTTCCCTCTGGTACCTGGTGACTTTGACCAAGATTATACTGACTTGTCGACTAGTGTACGCATTCATGTACGGTCTCGTTGGTATGCGCGAGAACATGGCCCGAGCTGCCCACACGAGACGGGTTGCCGCCGCTGCCGCGGTGGCGGGCCACTGAGGGACTTTCGGTCTAGACGGGTCTTGTCGGAGATGAACGGGGCAGGCGTCGGGCGGTGAGCACGGCGGTGGTGGCCGGTTCCATCGGGCTTGGCCATGCGTCGTTGATAGGTACAGTGGACGGATGCCTCAGAATGTAGGATTGATAAGGCATGCATCGGGCTGGAGTCGAGGATGGTGTAGTGTACCGCTCGAGGCGGTGGAGGGCAAGATGCCAGGGAGGGTGAACATACGATTACCAAAATAACCTAGAGCATTATGACTTCCAACACGCAATTCCTAGATCTCCAGGGACCGAGGCACTGTCTGACGAATGAATTGTGATTGCTGGGAACTTGGAAGGGGAATCCACGACTAAGGTTGGCAGGTAATGGTATCATGGGCGTTGACGGGACGGGACGCGAGGGGAAGAGCGATGGATGGATCATGGAGCTGGGGGCAAGGAGCGGTGTTGAGGCGGTGATGCAGGTCACTGGGCTTACCGACGATGAAGACAGGCGGAGAGCAGGGATTGGGGGGGACAAGCGAGCGGGACGGGGTCGTGGTGGCTCTTGATGATTGGCGGCGGTGATTTTGTGCCTGAATCTGCCCGACTAGCGGCAAACGCCAATCTCGAAGAGGGACGCAAAGTCGACGATGTGATTTTGTCCGAGGAGGAAGTGGGAGGGGGGAGCAAGAGGAGGGGTTTGGTTGCAAGGGTTCGTGGATCGATCCATGGACCAAAGAGACCAATACTGGGATATTGGGCTGAGAAGGAGGAGGAGGGGTTGAGAGTCGAGACGAGCCGAACGGGGGATTCTAGAAGTTGAGTCCGAAGCAACGGCATGACTGGCCTGGCAAGTCAGAACTGACTGAGGTAGGCATCCGTAGGTAGGTGACTGATTATGGAAGAGAATTGTCGTTCATGCGGCTTTGAGCGAGTTTGGATTTGGATGGGGTTCAGAGTGGTTTGGATGAAATAAAGTTAGGTTGTGGCTAGTGAGACAGTGAGGTCTGAATGCGTTCACGACGGCGCTACTGAGACCAATGTGAAGCAGTCTGGGGAGAGAAGGTAGACGCTGGCGAGCTCTCAGTCGTGGAAAGGCCGTGAACTGGGAGGAGGAACTGCGTGGTAAGGCACCTACACGCAAGTTCAGGTCTCCAAGTATTGCAGAGAGCATGAGGCTCTATCCAATCCCGCGTGGCAGGGCGGAAGCTTGGGCGATCCGGGGGAGGCGGCGATGAGGGGAGAGATGCAGAGGTGCAGAGGGTGCAGCATCTCGAGCAGTCCCGATCCTGCGAGGACAGAGTAGATGGCAACCATGGCAACCGTGGGCGGCATGTCCAGACGACGAAGTCACCAACCGGAAGGGCAGATGTCGAGCCGTCAGTGAGTTGGCAGCTTGGCCGAATCAGTCGGATACCTTATCGATCACGGAATCTAGGTAAGGTAGGTTGTTGGGCACTTTGATGAGGGTATGGGTGCTCATGACCCGGGCAACGAGCCAATGATGGTGCCAAGGGGTCGTCGACCGCCTTCTGGCGACTTCTTCTGGTGTCCATGAGGGATCCATGGGGCAGGTATCGTTTGACTCCTGAGATGATGTCCCGAGGTGTTCAGGAGGTAACACAATCCTGAGGTGTCGAGTCTGAAAGAGGGAAATGAGAAGAACCACCAAGGACTCGCGCAACTGAGGGAGCCCCGCGTTGCGATGACCTCACGTGCGGTCCTGACGACAGCGCATGCGAGGATGGTGAGGTGTCTCGGGATGAGGTTTCTTGGGCCGCCATTCCCGACTTTGGACCCTTCCGATTGTCTCTTGGCGGATTCGGGAGAAGGAACAAGAGGTACAAGATGGATGTACCTGAGCCATGCCCAATTGAGAACATGAGGTGAAGAAAGATACCTGCCCAGAGGTACCCAAGTACTCCAGATCCAGTCTGCCAACGCACCGGGAGGCCCGTTCCCAATCTCGGGGGGGTCGGAGAAGGCACGGAGGGGAGGGGGAGGTTTCTGGTCTGGGCCCAGGGCCGATGGCCGGTGACCGTTTTGTTCCAAGGGGAGCCTCCACAAGTACCGGTATGTGTTATTGCAAAGTACTTCTGGCACTTGCGTAGACACGCTGTACAATGAGGTACCTCAGATAGGTAGTTAGACTTAACTTTTAGGTCTGGCTCTTGAGGCAAAGGGGAAAGTGTCGGGTGCCTTAGCGGCTACTCCCCGGTTGGAGGCGCGGCGGTTCCATGGCGGATACCCTGAGAAAAGATACGTATTTCTCTCACAATCATTCGTGTCAGTCTGCCATTGCGTATCCGTCCAGTCATAGAGCCGTTGCAACTTGCGAGTAAGGTACTTGCTGCCATGCTGAAGTCACTCACTGCTTCCATGTCCTTGTTCCATTGGTGAAGCACAGAGAAGAGAGAGCCTAACAGTCTGCAACGGTGAAAGCTGAGTGGCAGACTGGCAGTTGGCAAGTACCGCGGGTGAAGTCACTGACATCCCCGACGTTCCATTTTGGTCGTGGTTAGGCTGAGATGCTGCCTGGGCTGTCCATGTCTGCCCGGTCCGCAGCTGGCAATGTGCCCCAACAGCGTTCATGGCCGTTCAGCTCTTTGCACCAGTTCCAGGTTTCCCCCTCAAGCGTCAGCAACGCGCGCCAGTTGTTTACCCTGCCTGCTGAACATCAAGTACCTTCTGGCGTGAAGATGGTGCTTGCGAGTACTTGCCAGTGATCACTTGGAACTGGCAGTAGGGACGGGTGTGCTTGGTGTTCGTCCTATCAAACACGCGGCTCGCACTACGCAACACACCTCCCGCCGCCACCCAGAAATGCGGCGGTTGGGAATACGCCAGCCAATGATACCCTGCCAAAGAAAAGATCCAGCCTAAGAACATCACCAACTTAACGTGATGGTATAAATATGAAAGCCCCCCCTCCGCAATCCACCCCTCTTCCCTCTTGTTCTCCCCCTCCCCCCCCCCTCCTCAACCACAACCAAAAAAGGGTCGCAAAGTTGCAAGTTGGGAATACCTCCTTGGGTCGTTCGTTACTGAATTCCCTTTCCATAGGAGGCATCTCTCACCCCGGACCCCTAGTCAATCTTTTTGTGTGTCACTCGTCCCTCACTTCTCTCACTCTCTTCTCTCTCTCGCTCTATCCCCCCCTCCCCCCTCCAATCCGAACACCCCTCCAACTTCGTCATTCCTCCCTCTCCTCTATTCGCTCATTTCGTCGCTCTCTACAAGTCTTCTCATCCCATAGACAAAGACATATAAGGTCCCTGGGCAACGCGCTCTCCATCGTCTCAGCTTCCCTAGTCTTTACTCTATCGTTCCCCATTCGAGTTGTCATTCCTTAATCAGAACAACAACATCGGCAACATCATCAGCATCAGCAACAACAACAACTTCTTCGGGCCTACAACGCCCGCTCTCTCTTAGCAAACCACAACCGTCATGTCGTTGTTCAAGCGTACCTTCAGGTCGCAAGACCCCAACGTCCGTGTCGACAAGACGTCCAGGCTGAAGAAGTCAAGCTCGATCCGGGATCACCAGAAGCTATCGAAAATGCAGCAGTCCGTCAACGAGAAGCCCGCCATGGCCCCACCAGCCGCCCCCGCGCCGCTGCCGACCAAGACGGGCAAGTCCGTGGCCCCTTCACCCATCGTCACCTTGACCGTGGGACGCGAGGGTCGACTGTTTGCTGCTCACGAGGACGTCCTCTTCCAGTCGCCCTTCTTCGAGGCCGCCTGCCGAGGTCAGTTCTTCGAGTCGCAGAGCAAGAGAATATCCCTCCCCGACGAAGAACCCGAGATCTTCTCTTCCGTCCTCGAGTACCTCTACAAGGGTGACTACTACCCCCGCCTCGTTCACAACAGGCACCGCAACTCTTGGGAGCTCGAGGACGCCGTCAGAGGAACTCCCCAAACTTCCCCCAACCCCGAAAACACCCCCCGAGGCGGCCGCGCAGCCGCCGTTCCCTCCACTCCCACATCGACAACCACCGGTACCACCGCGAGTGAGGCAACAATCTTTGTCTCGGGCTGCGGGCAACACATCCTCCGCGACACCGTCATCTACTGCGCTGCGGAGCGGTACGGGCTCGAGGAGCTCAAGCGCCTGGCTCTGCGCAAGCAGGGTCTCCAGTCTGGTATTGATATCGGCACCATCCTGCGCTCCGCCCAGTACGCCTACGCCCACACCCCCGACTCGGACTCCCGGCTGCGCGCTCACTACCTCGCTCTGATCATCAGATGTCGCAAGACTTTCAAGAGGAGCGGAACCATGCAAGCCGAGATGGAGCGCGGCGGTAGCAAGCTCTTCTTTGACCTGTTCGTGGCCATGTGCAACCACCTCGACGACGTTATCGACCACAGCAACGCGCGAACACCCAAGACCGTCTGAGAGGTTTCGGTTGACTTTTTTTGGTCTTGTTGGTTGAGTTGACTCTCGACCAGACACAGCCAGAAAACACATGTACAAAAGCGATCATGGTACTGTCACGGCGTTTAACACGGTTATTTTTCTTGTCATTTTGGTCCTTTGCCTTCCGGATTTGCATCACAAGGATAGGAGGTTGTCTGAGAACTGCGATCCCACGGAGGTCTGCTTTTCATGCCGGCACGTCACTTTCTCCCCTCTCTCCCACACCAGATTGGAAACGTCACCATTTGGGAGCTGTCTTTTCTTTCTGAAAACCCATCTCCACTTCTCATCGAGGTTGGCCGAATAAACCTTTCTGGTGGATTACCGGAGTCGAGGAGGACTAATACCCCCCCGCAAACGAGATTCACTCCTCCCGCTCTTCTTGCTTTCAACTCTCTCTTCCGCATCTTCTGGAACAAAGATTCCCCCAAATACAGGATATACCGGGCCCGGGCGGTTTTTCTCTCTCTCCATTTTACCAATCACTGGCGTCTACCCCCTTCTGAGCTCTAGTACTCTACTCCACGTTCACTCGTAGGTGGTAAGGGAACGGCTCAAACGGCTCATCAGAGAGCGAAAAAAGGAGGAAGTCGGAACGGAGAAGAGACTTGTTACCTTTTGATTTTACACAAAAACACAAAACAACGACAAAAAAAAAAGACACCAACCCCAGCACCAAGTTTGTTCCACTCTTCAACTACTCTGCTTACTTGGGAACGACAATTTACGGGGGACGGCGCAACTCCAACAACAACTCTCATCTCTCCATCGGGAACAACGGATTTTGGGCGTTTACGGTATTAGACATACCGGGGCACATGAGTTTGGTGCCAGCTACCATAACAGATTGTGTTTTTTGTCTTCTTTCCATCATTTTCTGAGATTACGGATGTCTTGAGGATACGTACGGGATGTGCCCGCCTCCGACTCCAGGGCAGGCCGAGGAAAAGATCATGTACAATCTCTCAATAGCGCAACAAGGAGCAGACTTTTGCGCTCTTTCTCTTCTGGCCTTGCCAAATCAACAACTCAACAACAACCAAAAAAACGGAAAATCTCCCAAGCAAACAAAGCATGTCAAGACTGAACGACTCAACACACCACATGCTTTCGGATCTCATTTGTCTCTGGGAATTTTAGGAGGATGCAACTCTTGTTTTTTCACGCGGTTTTCTGCATTGGTTCCTGCTTTTGCGATATAGCCTAGGCGGATTGGGGATATCGTCCCTAGTGGATTGGTTCTCTTGGACCTGGCTTGAGCCCTCGTCAGGGCGTGGTAATGAGAAATTTCGGCCACCTCATGAATTGTTCCTCTTGATCTATGTGACTGTTTGCATGTTTCCAAGTGACTATGTGCCCTGTGCGATTGGCTCTCTTGATATATACCCCCGCGTGTAAAGTGACTGACGAGCCTATACCCAGTTAAAATTTCAAGCACCTCGTAGCCGTTACGATTCAAGCGTTTCTATCAAATTGCAGTTGACCAGTCACTAATGCTATGATTCCTCTGACGATCCACACACTTTCCAGAAGTTTCGATCATAGGTTCAAGTTGCCTCAACGATCGTCAGGCGACCAGAGACAACATGAGAAAAAGCAGTCATACAGTGGCCATCAGCCCATTTACTTGCTTTTCCAAGAGCGACAAGAACCTCAAACGAGCGCCGATCCCCATTCGACAATGTAGCGAGACATAAAACACGACTGCAACTATCTGCATAATCAGGGAGTATTCGCACGTAAGCACGCTTTTGATTTAACATTATGATCGTTTCTCAGCTCTTTCGCCGTGTCAATATTGTTGTTGTTGTTTTTGTTGTTTTGTCTCGCCACGAGGCACAGACATCTGCGCTCGTTCGTGGTGGTAAGTACCACTCGCTACCCAAGCGACCCGAGTAACGTGCGACGTCGCCGGCGTGATGTTGCACGTTCGTCTCCTCTGGCGCGGCGGTGCCTGGGAGCTGTGGTACAGATGTAACCTGCCTCTTGGTTATCGAGGCGCCGACTCGGCTCTGTGGCCTGTGTGGTGGATATGAACCCCCAAGTTCGGCACTTGAGTGAGGCTGCTCCGACTAGCACGTTTCTGTTTCTTTGGAACATTGTAGACAAGTCTGTTTGTAGATGTCACTACAGATGTTGTAGGAAGTATACAAGTCATTAGCAAGATGGAGCGTCCTCTGCAGATCCCGATTTCCCTTTTGCGCAATCTTCTCTCATACACTAGGTCCCCGAGTCCCTTCCAAACTATAAACATTGGCCGATGAGACAATTTGCGGGTGGGAAACGACGTCAGGCGCGAAACTAGTCAATCTGCACGACACAATGAGACCGCGGGACTCGGGCGGCGACTACGTTAGGCTTTGGGGCCTTGCCAGCGTGCCATCGGTGCAGCAAAGTGTGATGTGATGCAGACTGACTAAATGAGAGACAGGTTAATCAGGGACGGGCGGGCGCTGCACCAGAACCGAGACTCGAAGGGAGATCGTGTGTAACCCCTCGCATGTTGGGTAGGCACGACAGGGTTCGGTGAGGCGTGGGATATATAGTTGCTTTCGCCCGTCTGGATGTTGTGGTGTTGGGCTTGACTTGGAGGTTACCTGAATGTTCATTCTTCATTACCCATTTCGAACCTTTCGAGGACGACCTGTGCTGCCCCGGCGCTCGTTCGACCCAACGACATTTAATCGAACCCAGCTTTAGTAGCGTATTGACCGAATTCGCCACTGAGAGAGCCACTTTGGCAGCAGTGGTAAAACACGAGGGGTAAGTTTGCCATTTATCTCCTAGTCCTTGGCGTAGGTTTGCTCAGCTCGTCTCAAGTCCGTCGAGACTTTCGGGAGCTGAGCACCCCGGAACGTTTGCCGGGAAAGAAAAGCTTCTCTGTTGTTAGCGATTTCAGCGTCGTGCGTCGACCCCGCGTTCTTCCGCCGCTTTCGTTTTTGTTTGCGTTCTGGTTTTGTCTTCTTGGCTTGAGTAATTGGATGCTGCGAGCTTCTTTGTATTGCAATTCCTCGGATGGAATTCCCGTCCCTTGTTCCCACCGAGTGGACAGGGCCCTTGTTGGTATCCGCACCGGGCCGGAAAAGCGGGGGCTGAAAGACTGCAGTTGGGATTGGTCAATTGCCGGAGCTTTGGGCCAGGGGTAAAATTGAACCCTTTTTTTTGAGTTTTTGCGGCTTGCCCATAACACGTGGTTTACCGTTTAGCAGTTACTCTTTCTTGGTTTGGTTTAGGTATTTGTTTGCAGAGGAAGGAGGGATTGAGTTGACTGGACTGTTTCAAGCTGACAAGTGTGACAAGTATCGAATTTATGGAAAATCCTTCCTTCCATTGTGACGAAAGACGACGTACCTATCCCGCAAGGCAGGGCAGTTGCGACGGGACTCTGAAGCTATCGTCACTGGTGACCTCCCGTTCCTTCCTCACGAATTTTGGCCCCGAGCGGCCCCTGTCATTTACCCCACTCTTTCGGTCCCGTGCACCTGGACCGAGATTTGCACCTGGAGGGGTCGACTTCAGGCACAGGCAGGAGCCTTCCATCGCACTTCCACTGCAGCAAGATACACCTTCCACTGCATCTCAGCATTGGGCAGCGGGCTTATTCGTACAGGTCTGTGGATGAGCGAATCTTCTTTTCCTTCCGTTCATCTTGCAATTTAATTTACCCATCTCACCCTCGTTGCCCTTGTCATCGTCAAAAAGTTCCTTCGAATACGCAAACGCAGTTGAGAGTGGGTGCAGGCGAGGAGCAAGCCAAAGTTGGACGCCCATCGTCATACGGCACTCATCCCTCCCTCGTCTTGTTTTCATCCAGTCTTATCCAGTACCATTCCCCTGGGTAGCAGCGTTCTTCGACTCCTTCATCCTGCGTACGCAGCATGCCAGACGGAACATGATTCGCCCTTGCGTCTGCTATCTTGTCTGATGTGCAATCGGCATTGCGCAGCCATCCCAGTGGTGACGCCGCACCACGCAAGACGATTTAATGCACACTGCGAAAAGAGAGACGCATTCCCCAGCAGAAGGGGGGGGGGGGGGGGCTTGGGGGTCAATAATACCATTCTGGGGCTAATAATACGGCCGTTGCGCCATGTTCAGTCACAACCACCACCTTATTCGACAGACCACCCAATATTACCTTCCGGTGAGATGAGGGAGCGCAATCAATAATTCAGGTCATACACTTTTGCCCGACTGTCCGTCATTTTTCCCATTGACACATACTTTCTGACTTGCTGCCTTGGCTTGGGCTACCTTACGGAATACGAATACCTACGGATACATCTCGCATTTTCAAGATTGAACGCCCTTTGGGTTTGTCTTTGGGCCGCCGCCGCCGCCGCTTTCCTTTCTTTCACCTGTCAATGCGACGCTGGGCAACTGGATCAATCTGACTGAGCCTGACTTTTGGCTTCCCACGTCTTCCGCGCTTCCATCGTCTTTCCCTTTTCTCTCGGCTTGCTCTCAATTTTTCTGCCTGACCCCCCCTTATCGACTAAATCCTTCCTCCATCCCCGATCTAGCCAAGGGCAGAGAGATCAACGCCCAGAATTAAGAGTCTTGCCTGTCAACCATACATTGTCGTCACTCGGAGCAACCAATTAATCGATCTGGAGTCGGACTGTGTCAATCATTGCGCCCAATTCCAACCCACGCACCACTGCCAATCACGTCCAACAACACCCACCCACCATCTTTCTTCTCAATCTCATCTGATCGAGCGCGAGGGGCGGACAAAAAGTGAATTTTAACAATTCCAGGGGCATAACCATACTTTTGAGGGCAAGGCCGCAAAGCCGCAATCATAATTAGAAGACAACCAAGAAAACGTCGAGCACGGCCCCCTTCTCTTGATCTCCTTTCCTCGGTCGATCAACGCGAGAATCGAGACAAGACGAGACAATCCGCAAGAAAACCAGAGACGATATCCCGAACGCGCTCCGCTTCACCCTGTCTGCAGCTGCAGCCACCGCTGCCCG